TTTTTTTTATTGTTTTTTCATCTAAAATTATAATTTTATAAAAATTTATAAAAGCATATGGTTAGAAGAGTTATTTTTAGTATCTTCTTTTTAATTTTTTTATAAAAAAAAGTTTTCCTTATAAATTATTTAATCTAAATACAAAATATTCAGTTAATATTTATGTAATAACATGTTATAGAATGAACAGTTTTTATTTTTTTAACAATTAACAAATACAATTAAATAATGAAATTTATAAAATTATCTATTGATTCTTATCCAATCAAGTAAAAAAATTTACTAATTTTTTATGTCATTGTATAATAAGATGGTTCACATTTTTTTTTATTTTTTTTTTTTTTTTTTTCCAATAATTATTAAGATATTATAGTAGATCTCACAAAGTTACCAATATATTAAAACTAAATGGAATAGGTTTAAAAAATTCAGGCGAAGAAGAAATAAAGAATTACTTTAAAAATTTTAATCTAACTTGTATGACTTATTTAATTGATAATGAAGACATACTTTATTTAGAATTTTATAAAAAAAAAGATTGCCTATTTTTACATAATTTCTTCAATAATGTTAAAAAAAAAAAAATTAATAAAAAAATATATATAAAATACGTCTACATTCCTATTTTCTCCTTAACTAAATCTTTTATTTATTTCTCTATATCTATATATATATATATATATATATATATATATATATATATATATACATATATATATATTTCATTATTCTTGAATATAATTTAATACTATGATTTTTTTTTAGAACATAAATGGAAATACAATAAATAAATATAATATTACTGCAGAATATGCAAACATAAAATATGAAATAAATAATAATTCAAATATATATACAAAAAACTACTTAAGTATTTTAAAAGGTAACGAAAACATTTTTATTTACAGAAATGTAATTGATAAGAAAATTTCTGATGATATTATTCAAAATTACGAAAGTTCAGAATGGTTAAAATATACAAAAAATAATGGTAGATTTTTCTTAATATTAATGAAATAAAAAAAAAAAAAAAAAAAAAAAAAAAATCATATAAACGAATATATTAATATATTTTGAAATGTGCAACATATTCTATTTCATTACAAATATTTTATTTCTTTTCTTTTTTTTTCTTTTTTTTTTCTAGAGCTAAATATTTGTTATTACTTTTGCCGAACAATTCCTAATAAAATATATAAATCCTATTGTATACAAAATATAACTTCATTCTTTACATCAGAATTTTTAAAAAATATAAAAAGTATATTTAATAATAGAGAACCAAATCAAGTGTCAATTTTAAACTGTCACAAAAAAAAGTCTATTGAATATGTAATCGAATCTAGTTTTATATTTGAAGTAATTTTTTTTTTTTATTAATAAAATTTATATAATAAATCAAAAAAAAAATTGATTATACGATTATATAAATACATGTATTTATGTGTTTCTTAATTTTTTCTTTTTTATAGGACGAAATAGCTTTTCTAGTTATTGGAAATGATTTACCTATATCTTTCTTTGATCTTAGAAATAGTAAAAAAAAAAAAAAAAAAAAAAAATACATTTTTGTAATTGTATATTTAATAATAATATGAAAAATATATATATAAATATAATTTTTCAGAAACTAAAATAAATTTATTAATTTCAAGTAATACACTTTTAAGAATTAATGGAAATCTCAGATACGAACTAATTTTTGGTATTCCTAAAAAGAAAAGTATACATCTTGAAGATACGGTAATACGAAACCTTTTTAAAATTGAAAAACAAAAAAAAAAAATAAAAAACAAATGGATATAAAGATGAAATCACTAATATTCTATTTAATATAGATTGTAGATAGAAAGAACAGCTACTTAATAATATTTCGTTTTATCAAAGAAAATAATATAGAAAACATCTTAACTGAAAGAAAAAATAATGAAAATAATAAAACTGAGAAACAAGAGAAAGATTGCGTTTCAATAAACATAAATGATTTTGATTCAGAAAATTTAGAAAAAAAGTATGTTCTTGATGTTTATAATAAAATAGCACAACACTTTGATCATACCAGGTATTTAAAAAAAAAAAAAAGGATTGATATACCTATCCATATGAATAAAAAAATTACATAAATCACAAAACTTTTATATATCTTTATGTATCCTTTTTTAAAATAATGAATTGTTTTGTAGATATAAAACTTGGAAAAATGTAGAAAACATAATAAATGAAGAAAAAGAAGGAAATATGATAATAGATATTGGTTGTGGTAGTGGTAAACATTTAAGTGTATCTTCCAAATATTTTTTTATAGGTTTAGATTTTAGCTTATATTTATTAAAAATAGCACAAAAAAAACGTAATTCAGATTTATTTTTAGCTAACTGTGTTAATATACCTTTAAGATCAAGTAAATTGAAATAATTTCTTTCTTTTTTTTTCTTTTATATTTTTACGAAATATTTTATTCTTTTGTTTTAAACATTATTTAGATTTAGCTGATTTATGTATTTCAATAGCAGTTATACATCATATAGGAACTCATGAAAAAAGGTAATTCAATTAAAATAAGAAATAAATATTTTTGCTTAAAGAAAAAAGGAAATTATACATAATTTATATTATTTTTTAAATAGAAAAAAAGCTATCGATGAAATGGTTCGATGCACGAAAATTGGTGGAAGAATTCTTATATATGTTTGGTTTGATAAAGAAAAAAAGAAGTTTTATATCCTTTTATACATATAATTAAAACCATATAATCAATATTATTACACATTATAACATATACCATTCTTCATAAAAATTAATATTTCATTTTTTTTATAGGGCTTATGAACAGCAAGATAACATTATTGGAAATAGGCAATTCAATTCTCAAGATAGTAAATTAAGAATTATAATTATAATGAAATTCTTCTTAAAAATTATTTTAGATACTTATTTTTGTTTAATTAATCATTTCAATTGATTTTCTTTTTTTTTTTTTTTTTTTTTTTTTTTTTTTTAAATTATACCTTTTTTAATATATAAGAGAAAAAAATGTGTGTACAAAATGAAAATATAATTTTTATTTATTTTTTTTTTTTTTATTTAGTTTTTGTACCATGGTATCTACAACAACAATATACAACAAAAACAAGTGAAGAAGAGAAATGTAATTCTTATCCTTTTAAAAAAGGTAACATAATATTAATATAAATATTATATAAATGTGATTCTTTCAAGATTAAAGTTTTAAATAATTATTATTTTATATATTATTATAAATTTCAAGTTATAGAATGAAAACATATTTCTTGTATATAAAAAAATATATGTAATATATGTAATTTATTTTTGAATAGAACAAAACTTATGGATTTTTTTTTTTTTTTTCCATCAGATCTTTTGAAATTACATAGATATTATCATGTATTTAAAAAAGAAGAAATATATGAATTATGCGAAAGTATTAATGGTGTAAAAATTGAAAAAATTTATTTTGATTGTAATAATTGGGGCATTATATTAAGAAAAGTTTTTTAATTTATTATTATTCTTATAATTAATTAATTTGAATGTATATCATTTTTTCTCATTACATATTTTTTTAAAATATTTTTAACTTATTTTATATATATATATATATATATATATGTTTATTTTAATTAATAATTTATGTTGATAAAGTATTTTAATTTTGTAATGTATTTATATTCATAATGAAAAAATGAATAAAGATATATTAAATAACATTTATTATTCTTTTAAGGAAATTTGAAAATTGAAGTTACCTTTTTATTAATTCTATGGTCTAGTGATTCGTTAAAAATACTTTTTTATTTTTATGATGATTATTTTTTTTTTTTTTTAACTTTTAAATTTGTTAGTATATATATATATATATAAATTTAAGAATACTTCTTATAAATTGTTTGTTTTATTTTTTATTTTTTATTTTTTTTTGGTTTTTATATTTATACTTTTATTTCATTAATTGTGTTTTTAATAACATTTTGTTTAGTTTGGTGTGCATATTGTACTTAAATATATAGTTATTATATATATATATATTTATATAATTGTGCTTAATGAAAATAAATTATGCAAATAGCTGTTATTTTCCTTTAATAAGTTATAAACCCAATATAATTTATTATTATATCTTCTTAAAACAAATTGAAAAATATAAAAAGAATGAATTATCTTCAAATGAAGTATACGACATTACTATAGTTGGTGGTGGCTTATTTAGTTGTTGTTTATACTATTTTTTAAAAAAAAAAAATCCTTTACTTAAAATATTAATAATTGAAAAAGAGAAAATGCTAGGGGGATATGTTAAAACGTATAAAAATAATAAAAAATTTTTGTTCGAATTAGGACCAAATATTTTCAAATTAAATGATGATAGTTATAATTTAATTAAAGAATTGCATTTACTTTGCAATGTGAGAGTATTAAACAAGAAATTAATAAGATATATTTATTACAATGATAAGTTATATCCATTACATTTTAATCTCATTGGTTACTTTATTTTCCCTCTGATCAAAATTTCAAATAAAGTTAAATTGATTTTAAAATTGTTTTTTAAAAAATACAAAAATATAAATTTATATGACAATGATATTTCCGTAGAAAATTATATGAAAGAAAATTTTGATTTACAACATTATAACTTTTTACTTTTACCTCTGATATATGGTTCGTGTGGTGGAAATGGTGATATATCTGCTATATCGTTTTTTTCTAGAAATTTAAAATTTTGTGATAATAATATAAATAGCTTATATATATGGCGTGAAAGAAAAATAGAAAAAAAAAAAAGACATAAATTAAATGGAACAAAATTTTGTAACACATATACTTTTCATAATTTTTTTTATAAGATGAATAAAGATGAAAAATTATTTCATTACATGAATATACTAAATAAATATAATGCTTTGAATTATAATAAAAAAATTCCATTAAATAGTTATAAGAAGAGAAGTTTATTTCATATAAATAAGAAGAAAAGTCTAAATATAATTAAAGAAATGTGTGTTTTAATAAAAAATGCATATAAAAATTTCCTTTTTTTATACAAAAAGATAATTAAGAAAAGTAAACAAGAAGAAGAAAAAAAGAAATTTATTGGGAAATTGGTATCATTAAAATATGGGTTATATGAAATAATAAGTAAATTAAATAATTATATAAATCAAAAATATGTGTGTACAAATTGCGAAGTAGATTTCATTAAAAGAACAAAAGAAAATTTATGGATGTGCAATATCAAAAATGAAAAAAAAAATTATACAATATATAGTAAAAATGTTGTCTTAACAGTAAATTCTAAAATATGCTCGAATATTATGAGATATATTATATCTTCTGATATTAAAAATATTCTTTTAAATTTTTCTTATTCAAATATAATAAGTGTAACATTATATTATAATAAAAAAGATGTAAGAATACCAAGTAATTTTTTTGGGTTTTTATCATCTGATAAATTAGCACATATATTGGGTTGTTTTTACATTAATAATATGTTTAAAGAAAGATGTGATGATAACAATATAGTATTATTAACATTATATATGGGTGGACAAAACAACCCTAATGATATTTTCTTAAAAAAAGAAGAAATAGCTGAAATTATCTCGGAAGATTTAAAAAAGATATTTCAAATAGAAAATAATATAAAACCAGTTATTTTAAAAATAAAAAAATGGTATAATGCTATACCTATTTATTTACATAATTATGAAAAGGATTTAAGGTATTTTTTAGATGAATTAAATAAATCAGCATATCAAAATTTATTTATTGATTCAGGATGGATAACTGGAACATCTATATCTGATAGAATTACATCTGCAAAAGATTTATCAGAATTTATACAATCAAAATTTTTTAGTGAATAAAATTTAAGAATACTAACAAAAGGATTTCTAAGAAATTATGCAATCAAAATGTTTACAAAAAAAAAAAAAAAAAAAAAAAAAAAAAAAAAAAAAAAAAAAAAAAAAAAAAAAATATAATAAAATAAAATAAATAAGTAAACCAAATAAAATTGTACAATTATTAAAAAGAAATTAAAATAATATTAACTAAAAAAGACAAAATCTTTAAAAAAAAATAAAATAAAAAAAAGCTCATAAATATATAAATAGAACCATATGCATTTATTCAATATCATTTTTATTTTTCTAATAATAAAAACTTCAAAATAAATTTAATTTTTATACAAAAAAAAAAAAAAAAAAAAATTTTTATAACAAAAAATATTTTTCTATATTTATATATTCATTTTATTCATAAAAATAAAAATTCCATATATTTAAAATATATATTAAAAAAAAAAAAAAGTATGAATATGAAATTTAACTTGAAAGGTAGTAATAAAGTAAATAAAAAAATATATTTTTTTTTATTAGTATTTGACTATAGTTTACTTCAGAAAATAGAAAATAATTAATAAATAAATATATATATATGTACATATTTGTAGGTGCATTTTTTGTTTCATTTTTTTTTTATTAAATATTCATAAAAACACCTTGCGTTGCAATAGGAGACTTACAATTAGGGCAGGTTGCACTTCTAATTAGCCATAAATCAATACATGATTTATGAAATGTGTGATTACATAGTAATAAAGTTCTGACACATTCATCAACTTGAAAATCATTTAAACAAATAGAGCATTTTGTTTCTTGTGAAACATCTTTTATATAATAAAATGGTAAATTTTCAATTTGTTTTAATCTTAACCCTTTTCTATAAATAAATATTCCATAATTTCTTATTAAGTCAATGTTATCACTCCATCTTGAAAATATATCATTTGATTGCATATTAGTAAATGCTCTTTCATATATTCTTGATTGATATTCTAAATAAATAGATAAAATTATAAAAAATAAATACAATAAAATCCAGATATAGCAAAGTACTATCCATAATACAATAAACCATGGATGATTATTACTTGGTAAACAATTAGGTGTGTATTTTATTATTTTGTATATCCATATAGTTCCTATAATATTCCATATAATAAAAAATGGGAATAATACACAAAGAACTAAAAAGTTAATAAAATTTGGTGGATTATTTCTTCTGTATATAATAAAATGATCATTTTCATTACTTAAATGTTGTGCTAAAAAATGTGATAATCTAAATAGAACAATAGATATAAATGAAATAACCAACCACAGCTGTATAGGCTTATAACACTTGGAAAAGTTTTTCCATTGAATAAATATATCAGCAATTGAATAACAAACTGATAAAATTAGTATAAAATCATTGAAGGTTATTTTTATTCTAATTCTATCTCTTTCAGATTCCATTTTTATCATTTGTTTAATTTTTTTTTTTTTTTTTTTTTTTATTTTTTGTGAGAAGAATGTATATATAACATATCGACAAAATCTATTCATTTCAAAAAAAAATAGGAAATTATCATTGTTTTAATAAATATAAAATTAAGGAATAATATATTATATATATATATATATATATAATATAATATAATATAAATTATTCTTAATTTTATTATAATAATTATATATTTTTAAGATCATTTCATTTCATTTTTTTTTTTTTTTTTTTTTTTTTTTTTTTTTTTTTTTTTTTTTTTTTC